GAGAGAGAGAGAGAGAGAGAGAGAGAGATTCTGACATGCAAAGCCTAGTTAGAACCACAATGATGACCACAATGTAGGGAAGAGAGGAGGAGGAGATGGTGGTATTGATCGGGATATGCCGACGACAATAGTGATGACGTGGTTAACAAAATGATGACCAGGTGACAAGGCAACAAATATGATGGCGATAGCGATGGGCCAAGAAATGTGATGACGATAGTGAGATGAGGGACGCATGCACGTTCTCAAAAAATGATGATCGTTATGCTGACGACGATGACTACCAAGTTTACAACACTAGCAATGATGATGATGTGCGGAGGTGCTGACTATGCCACTGGCTGGGCTCATCAATTATGTCAATAGACACACGATCACAGGATGATGACGATAGTGAGATGGCGGACGGATGAACGTTCTCGAACATGATGATTGGTTATGCTGACGAACGATGACGTCTTAAGACACTGGCAATTATGATGTGCGGAGGTGCTCATTATGGTCCTGGCCTCAGTTATGCCAATAGCCACCTGACGACATTCACTAAGACGAAATGACGACAACGATCCAATCAACGATGATGATGATGAGGACGTAAATATGCTTATCAATAATATAAACCACCACTGTGGCATAACTGAGGCACGGATGAACGTTCTCAACATGGTGATTGACGTCTGAAGACACTGGCAATTATGATGTGCGGAGGTGCTCACGATGGTCCTGGCCTCAGTTATGCCAATACCCACCTGACGACATTCACTAAGACGAAATGACGACAACGATCCGATCAACGATGATGATGAGGAGGACGAAAATATGCTTATCAATAATATAAACCACCACTGTGGCCATTCTCTTCGAGTATGATGATGATGATGATGTTATGTGTTTTTAATTTTTTTTTTTTTGCTTTTTTTTAATAATATGTTAGTAAGAAGTGCACTCTATACATTGGTGCGGAGTTTGCTTGAAATGGCCTTATGGTTTTCTTATAAATTGAGGTGAAAAATGGGGGGTCGGTTAACCGGCTCTCTGAATACGATGATGATGATGAATACGATGATGATGATGATGAACGGTCGCAAACGAATGCATCCAACGGTCGCAAACGACGATGATGATCAAATTGCACTGATGATGATTGGGAAGACCGATCCAAGTTGATTGCCGGTGAAGATGACGCTGCTGAAGATGGCGACAGTGAATAATTCAAACCAACTGAAGATGAAAATGAATACATTTGCATAATCAATAATCAATAACATCATCATTTTGGGAAATCAACGGGTTGCGAAAATGAATAGATGAGCATAATCAGATCCACATGATGGGTAATCAACGAGTTGTGCGGATGCTGATTGATTGGTTGATGGATGGCGATGGAGTTGGCCATCACCATCAATAACATCGTCATGAAAACCATGCACATAAAGAATGCACAAACAAGATGATGATGATGATGATGATGATGATATCATCATGGTTGTGGTGATGGTGACGGTGATGATGATGGTTGTGGTACTAGTGATGATGAAGGTGATGGTGATGGTGATGGTGATGAAGATGAAGATGAGGGTTAGTGATGATGACGATAATGACGATGATGATGAGCATGATGATGATGGTTAGTGATGATGATGACCATGATGATGATGATGATAACGATGATGATGATGATGATGGAGATAGTGATAATGATGGATGGAGACAATCAATGAATCCAGAAGATGATGGGGAACGGTGACAGTGACGATGAATGGGTGCACAAGATGACGATCATGATGATGATGATGCGCCGGTGATGATCGTAATCATGATGATGATGATGATGATGATGAATAGGTTCAAATGTGCACGGCAAAGTTTTTGATGACGATGACGATGATGATGATGATGATGATGATGATGACAACGATGATGAACGGTGATGACGATATAATGAATTCATCTTCTGGATGATAAATTGATCCCCAATGAATCTTGATGAGGAGAAGGATGAGACTGCTTTGATATTCTGCCAGCAACCCAAATTCATAATGTCGAGTATGATACAAATCATCAATGGCTTCAGCGAACCATCATCGATCAATCAACGAACCATCAACGATCAATCAACGATCAATCAACGATCAATCAACGATCAATCAACGACCAATCAACGACGCAGCCTTTCCAAGTTCTTCCGGCCCCTTCGCGTTTCTCCTCAAATCTAAATATCATTTAGGATACCAAAAAAATATGCCACCCCAAAACATACCCCAAAATCCAAATATGCCATACATACCACCCCTGGCACCCCGAAATATACAATCTCACGCTCTATCTTCCACTACTTGACATGCCTAAGTGCTGTCTATCGATCAATTTCTCTTTTCCTTTCCATTTTCTTGATTTCCATGTACTCCATCTTTCCATCATCTTTCCCTTTTCCTTTTTTTTTTTTTTTTTTTTTTTCATTTCGCCCTCTTTCCTTTATCTCAATTAAGGGAAAGAAAAAGTTTGTCCCCGCAATACTATACCCTCCCGCAACATTAAAAGTCGCAGAGTCCAACCTTGGCTTTCAAGATTCTCTGCTAGGGCAAACTCGACCTCGACTAGAAGAGAGAATTTTGTCGCAGAGTCCAACCTTGGCTTTAGCACCATCATCTCTGTATGACAGAAGCAGAAAATCTCCCCACTCAGAGCCAGATTCCTCTCTCTCTCTCTCTCTCTCTCTCTCTCTCTCTCTCTCTCTCTCTCTCTCTCTCTCTCCCCCGCGGGCATTTCCTTGCTCGCTGACTCGCCAGCGACTCGCGCTATCGTAGAAACGGCACCGAAAGAGCATCGAGTCAAGCTTGCAGTTTGACATAGCGTGGATTGATTTAAAAAAAAAAAAAAAAAAAAAAAAAAGCAGTCGGGGATTCTGCTTGAGAGCAAGGAGGGAAGAAAGGGGTTGGAGGCGATCGGCGGCAGAAAGAGGGAGAGAGACAAACAGACATATTGTCACACTGGAAATCGGAGCGCAAAGGCGGAAAAAGACAAAACAAGAAAAAGAAAAAGAAGTAGGCGATATCCTAGAGGACAGAAGAAAGAAGAGAGAGCAAGGCAAAAAAACAGCGATTCTTGACAGATTAACAGATACGAGGGAAATTTTTTGAAAGAATGCAGGAAAAAAAGAAAAGAAGACGGAAATTGTCCTCATGGAGTGGAAGAACGCAACACGTAGTGAGCAGTAGTTATAGATCCGTACATCTGGGCCAAAGGCCCTCCGCCAAGCACGGATTCGAACCCGCGACCGCGTGGAAAACTGTAAAAAAAAAAAAAAAAAAAAAAACTGTAACAAGGATAAGACCATACGTTTGGAAAAGAGAGAGAACAGAAATAGATAGAAGTCATAGCCCAGAGAGAGGGGAGGGGCAAGGAGGAGAGGGGCAGGGAGGAGAGGGGCAGCGCGGCCGGAGAGCTTGCCTGGATGTTTCAGACGAAGAGTACATAATCAAAGACGGGCGATAGGGGCGCGCGCGCGCGCGAGAGAGAGAGAGAGAGAGAGAGAGAGCTATGGACAACAGAGAGGGGAAATGGGTAGAGGCTTGACAGAGAAGAGGGAGACAGGGATGAGTTGTGCTTGAAAGACAGAAACGCAAAGGGAGAGGATCTAACTATAACAACCAGCGATTCCAGCCAGCAGTTAAACCAGCCCTCTTCCTTTGTTGTCGCCTGTTCCTCATTTTCTCCTTCTCGTTTTTTCTTCTTGATTCTTTACTCGTCTTCTATTATTACTATGTGTCCTCCTTTTTCTCCTTCTGTAATCAGCGATTCTAACCAGTGATTCTAACCAGCGATTCTCTAACCAGTGATTCTATCGAGTGATTCTAACCAGCGATTCTCTGACCAATAATTCTCTAAGCAGCGATTCTAACCAGCAATTCTCTAACCAGTGATTCTAAACAGCGATTCTCTAACCAGTGATTCTATTGAGTGATTCTAACCAGCGATTCTCCGACCAACGATTCTCTAACCAGCGATTCTCTAAATAGCGATTCTCTAAACAGCGATTCTCTATACAGCGATTCTCTAAACAGCGATTCTCGTTTTCTTCTTGATTCTTTAGTAGTCTTTTATTATGTCCTCCCTTTTTTTCCCTCCTTTTGTAATCAGCGATTCGATCGAGTGATTCTAACCAGCGATTCTCTAACCAGGGACTCCAACCACTGATTCTCTAACCAGGGATTCCAACCAACGATTCTCTAACCAGCGATTCTCTAACCAACGATTCTCTAAGCAGCGATTCTAACCACTGATTCTAAACACCGATTCTAAACAGCAATTGCAAGGAGCGATTCGATAACCTTTTCACACTTGCGGAGAGAGGTAGAAACAAGACGTGCGGTGATTAGAAAAAGAGAAATAGAGAGCGTGACAGAGAGGCTACTGACTAGGTGAAGAAAATTAAATGAGAAAGCAAAAGTTGAGAAAAAAGGGAGACTAAGTAGGTCGCCAACATTTCTACGTGTTGATGACGTCTTTTTTTTTTCCTTTTCTTTTCCACTTCTCTTCTTTCTTGTCCCTTTCTTTTTTTTTTCAAATGACTTGTTATGAGAAGTCATTTTTCGCATAAAGACTTATTCAAAACGAAGCGTAAGAGACTCTAGCGAATGGAACCGAACGAAATTTCCAACCACAATCGGTCGTGGTAATCGTCTGTGGGGTAGACGGGGAGGGAAAGAGAGGGAGGGGAAGGGAGGGGGAGGGAGGGAGAGGAGGGGGAGGGGGGAGGAGGGAGAAGGGAGGAGGGAGAAGGGAGGAGGGAGAAGGGAGGAGGGAGCGGGATGGTGGGGGAGATGGCAGTGGGAGACGTCTGTGATATCTGTGAGTTAGGTCTTCCTAGTGACATAAATCGAAAAGAAGGAACAACAAAAGAATATTCGAGAAAACAAAATGGAACGGATCAGAACATAAGAGAACAAGGGGGAAGGGAAAAGGGTGCAGGAGAGAAGTGTGATTGCTAATTAGTAATT